GCGATTACCAATATATCGGAATTTTCTGATCTAATCTGGATAGCGTTTGCGGTAGATGTTGAGCACAGCGTTACCACACGTGATCTGATGCGGATACATGACCGAGAGCCTTCAGCTAGGTGAGTCCACTAAAACTAATCTAGTCAGCATCCAATGTCGAAAACTTACAGAGCTATTTATTTTTGAGATTTATTTTCCGCTACAGCCTATTTGTATATTGACCAAGTTGTTCATATTGTATATATTCTAGCAGGATCTATGGTAATCCTATACAAAATGTGCATTTTATCAGCAATTGCAAAACAAATCTTATCCGACAACAAGATGAAGCCGCTCAAGCGGAATTTCTTGAAGATATGTGTCTACCCTAGCCCAATGCACTTTTTGTAAATTTATGGAGTTAATATCTGTAGACCTCATAGAACTAACCCGGGTCACACTTCAATACATTCCATTTACACTGTGTGACGACAAGCTTCCCGTCACTGCAAAATCGTATTACTGAAATCATCTCTAGAAACCTTCTTATACAACCTTCTTACACTGCTACGCACGCTATCTACAAAGGACAGTGGTATTGTTTCTCGTTGAAGTAGTTAACTGTTTTGATCGTAAATTACGTATCAAAACTACGATTTACACTTTAATTGAATCTACTACAGTTAAAGTGATATTCTATTGAGTTTTTTTGGCTTTTGTGTATTTATTACATTCGAAAGCATTCTTGGTCTGTATCAAAGTACCAAACTGTTTGTTCCCTGTGGAGGAATGAATGCAGTGTGACGAATGCAATAAGTGGTTCCACAAAATGTGCACCCGTTTAAGTCCCACCTCATACAAAAGATGTTCGAAGCCTAACTCACATTGGCTATGCATGTTTTGCTGTGCCAACAAGGCATTACTAATACAGGAGGCTATGAGTCTATTGGCTTTGGCCTGTAAGAAGAACGATGGCATATGCGCTGACAACACGAGCACTGACAGTGACGAATGTGTCAGTGTAGTACCTGATGTTACGCGACGCCTCAAACAACTGACTCTGACCGACGTAAAAGTGAAATCTTCGTTGACATTAACAGGGGGAGTAGTACCACCTGGTACTGACATTGTTAATAATGCACCTTTAGTGGGAACCGAAGATCTGGATAAAACAGTCACCGTTCCAAATAGTCCCAGTGTCATGGGGGTGAAAAATGGACTACGGTACGTAGGAAACGAAACGAAAAGAAAAAAGCTGTAAGCAGTACACAGGTAGTTAGTAACTCACTGGTGGACTCAAATTGTGAGCCAAAAATTGTACTACCAAGATCTGGTGGTAAGAGTGAAACCCATCCTGGCGCGACTGAGAAGAAAAATCTAATAACATCGAATATTATTGAGAGCGAATTACGGGAGTCAAACGACCCTGATCCAAAAATCAGACACGCGCATGACTTAGAAAAGCTAAGAGAATACATTCGTAGTATTTTACCAGATAACTCCAAAGGAGTTCAGGTCACAAAATTGGTAAGAATAGGCAAGAGGACCGAGGACAATGTTGAACCCCGTCCATGCAGACTCCTTAAGGTAATTCTAGGTTCGGAGAAGCAGCGAGATCTCTTGTTAAGTAGCGCTCGTTGTCACGACAATTCTGACATCCGAGTTATACCTGACATGTCTCTCGAAGATAGAATAAAAAGGAAGAAAGCACTAGCTGAACTTGAAACCCGTCGGCAAAACGGCGAAGAAAATCTCCGGCTAGTGGGTTTTCGGATAGTCAGGTCTTGGAAGCGAATGCTACCAAAGCCTGTGTGGATAGGCTGTTCTACTTAGGAGTTTTATATGTCAACGCTCGTAGTTTACGAAATAAGTTCTATGAACTAGAAGCACTAGTGGACAGGTTAAAGCCACTCATAGTAGCAGTGACAGAAACTTGGTTAGTCCATGACTTAGACATTACTCCAGAATTATCTGGATACCATTGCATCAGGAGTGATAGACATAGATGTAGAAAAAGAGGCGGCGTCCTGTTATATATAGCCAATAGCATAAATATCCGCTCCTCTACTAGCGAATCCCATGATAGCGGCACTTGTGAAGTCATTAGCAGTAAGTTGGCTATAGGATGTAGTACATTTATGCTAGGTGTCATCTATCGGAGCCCAATCTGCTTGGCTGATGACTTTGTTTTAGAGCACATTCATCTTTGGAGTGAAAATACCAGATGCTTGATAATAGGAGACTTTAACGCACCTTATATTAGTTGGACTGATATGACCGCAGAAGGATCTATAAACTCCTTTGATAGTAGGTTCCTGATGACAATAATGGAGCATGTACTAGTGCAGCATGTATCCCAACCCACACGTTTTGGTGTTAACCAGGGTTCTTCCCTGCTGGATTTGGTAATCACTTATGAGACTGAGGGTATTGTCGACTTAAATATTCTCCCAACGTTAGTGATCAGCGATCACGCTGTTTTGTCATTCATGTTTAGAACTAGGGACATGTTATACGATCAGGTTACACCGCGCCCAAATGTATGTAAAGCTAACATATCAGCCATTCAGGAATGCGCTGCTAAGACAGATTGGTTAGTAGATACTAGCATATCAGTTGAAGAAGCATGGTCTGTATTTAAAGGTAAATTTAGACTAGTTATGTCCCCGTTCATACCATACCTGGTACCGCGAAGACCGCATAATAGTCCACCATGGATAACTTAAACGGTCAGGAAACTCCTTAGAAAAAGGAAGAATCACAGGAATATGTTCATCTCTACTGGCTTAGAACAATACAGATCCAGTTATTGTAAGATTAGGAATGCCTGTAAGCAAGACTAGGCTGTCATACGAAAAACAATTGGTTAGGGATTCTAGATATAGTCCGAAACGGTTATTCTCGTATATAAAAAGGCGAACTAAGAGAAGCGATGGAATTCCATCACTTTTGATACGTGATAATCCGTTAATCTTAGCAGAGAATGATGCCGAAAAAGCTGAAGCTTTATCGGAATATTTTAGTAAAGTGTTTCCTATCGGTAATGAGGAACGACCAATGATTCATCGCGACCGTGACGGCTCGCTGATGGATCCTGTAGTCATTGAGAAAGGTACTGTTTTAAGGCTACTTCAGCATCTCAAACCTGATAAGTCCAGTGGTCCTGATGATATTCATCCTAGGATTATGAAAGCCATATCAGATGAAATTGCTGAACCATTAGCGATACTATTCGACATGTCTCTGAGACAGTCCAGACTTCCTAGAGACTGGAAAGACGCCATAATAAGTCCGATGTATAAGGCTGGGAGTAGGGATTTAGTTAGCAACTATAGGCCAGTTAGCTTAACTAGTGGAGTTGTAAAACTGATGGAAAAAATCATTCGGATAGCTGTTATAAACTATGTTGAAGGGCAAAATCTTTTCTCCAGGGCACAACATGGTTTACGGAAAGGCCTATCTTGCTTGACAAATCTTCTCATTGCACGAGAAGATTGGGCTGCGGCAAAGGATCGGAATGCTCCTGTGGATGTGATTTTCATAGATCTAAGTAAAGCCTTTGATAAGGTTTCCCACTCTGGTCTTAAATTCAAACTGAAACGTTTTGGAATCCATTATACAGTCGTCGATTGGATAAGTAACCTTCTCCATGACAGGAAACAAAGGGTAAGGGTTAATGGGGCTCTCTCCTCGTGGGTAACTGTAAAAAGTGGGGTTCCCCAAGGCACAATCCTAGGTCCTCTTCTCTTTTTACTTTATGTAAATGAATTGCCAACTGTAGCAAAATCATCCGTTCTACTCTTCGCTGATGAAATAAAGATTTGGAGACCCATACATAGTATGTCGGATAGAGTAGTATTACAGGACGATCTTAGCCCATTGGTGGCATGGTTAGACATGTGGTCACTAGAAGTAAATCCTAATAAGAGTGTAGTGATGCAGTTAAATAACTCTTATGAATCGTATGACTATACACTACGTGGATTCGTGCTACCCAAAACAAGAAACTATAAAGATTTAGGAGTCATGTTAAGCAATGATCTCAAAACCACTAGTCACTGCAAGGTTGCTGCTGCAAAAGGCTATAGGGTATTATGGTCAATTCGTAGGTTTTTTTAGTATTTAGATGATGAAATGTTTGGATTACTGTACCCGATTTATGTGCGACCACATTTAGAATACGCGATTCAAGCAGCGAGTCCTTGTTTCAAATATGAAGCAGATATGCTAGAAGAGTCCATCGACGAGCTACTAAGATGGTACAAGATCTGTCTGGCCTATCTTATAAAGACAGACTGAGACACCTTAACTTATTTCCGTTAGTTTACCGTAGAGTACGGGGTGATCCAGTATTGACTTATCGTATTGGTATTAACATGTCTTATCTTTTGCTTCCGTCTAGAACCGATCATTTGAGAGGACATTCGAAGAAAGTTCAAAAACCGAGATCAAACAGTTTACGTCTGGAGTTCCGTTTCTCGCACCGGGTAGTGAATTACTGGGATTCCCTACCGGAACACGTAATATCAGCACCGTCTGTTAATATATTCAAAACGAGATTGGACCTCCACAGTATTACAAACTGCAAGGATTAATATAGGTCGACAGACCTCCTATCCTTATTACTGAAGACTGAAGACTGAAGACTATAATAGTTGTTGAGCACCAACAACGCAGGAAAAATGATAATCTAAAAGCGAAGGAAGAAAGGAATGTACACAAGTAACAGTAGTCACGAAAGATAGGCAAGTAAAACCCTGAACCCCAGATGCTTTTATGGCACTTAAAAAAATGTAGTTGAAAAAAATAGAACTGAACGTGTTGAAAACTTGGAAACTTAAAATTATTGCTTTGTGCTCAAATGGTAACCTTTAAAAAGTTTGAAATTCTCTTCAACACAAATGTAGCAAACACTAGCTAGGTTATTTACTTACTGGACGTCCAAGTGTTTCATAACTATTATTAATTTGACATTAACTTTTCACGGAGATATTGAAATTAGGACAACGAAAGTACTATACCGGGCTATCTGTCTTCAAGGTCAGGAGTGTGATTTGCATTCTCATAAAACTATACTTCACGGACGAGCCAGCCAAAATCGCGAATGTGAAATTCAAGTGCCATGTGTAACAAGCAGCAAAAGCTCTTTTGTATGCTGCTTTAAATCCTTAGAAAATATCGTAAACTCACTTTTATCTATCATTGATTAACGTTAATCTATCAATTGATACTGTTAAATCATCACATGCCTTCTTTTGTCTCTTTAAATTGAGTATATGTACCCCTGAATGGAAAACCCTACTTTCTAATCCTAAAGTAAACCTCAAGTCGATCGCCCTAAGCTCCCGACTTTGGGGAAATCCCCAAAGTTTGGGGAATTTTAGGGTTTTTGTGTCGTTTCCCCAAAACTTACAATAGCGGCTTCCCCAAAATGTGCTTAATTTTCCCCAAAACTGGCAGCTTGGGGCGTTACATATATTTTCTAAACTAGTCAGACATTGCATTTTTAATAAAATTCATTCATATAGCTACAGAGCAATTTTGAGTAGTAACCGACGTCATTTCGTGTTAAAGCCTTGACCCCTTTCGCAATTTTTTAGCAGTAACTAGGGCCAATATAAAGAACCTAAGATTCTTTTGCGTCCTTATAAATATTTAAAAAGATAAGCAGTCTATTTCCATGAGGGCAATTTGATGTTTTTTCATAGTTTCAAGTTAAATGACTTGTGGAAAATGTCAGTAGATTCAATGTTTACTTAAGACCGGTTCACGCTAGCAATACTATTGTTTTTTTCCATGGACTACCCATTAATAAACGTCTTTTACAATTGTCTAAAAACTGTATTTTCAGTTCTAATCTTGTCCCCAAAGTGTGCCTTTGCTCTCATGTTGAACTTATTACTTTTCTATTGTTACTGAAATATATTTAAATGTATATTTGAATCATGGAGCAGAAATTAGCGAGATCAGATCAAATATCAGATATCTTCATAATTTAGGATGACCTCCAATAAAATATTGGTGATATAAGAATTTTGGCGATTCACTAACAGAACAAAAAATGAATAAGGTTGTTTTTAGATAAACGTCATCATATATCAAGTGTCTAACCAATCCATCTTAAAATATGATAATCATAATGTATAAAAACTTATTACCCAGTACTCTAATGATTTTGTTTTCTAGAATCAGTTGACTACCACTTTGATAGTTTTTTTTCTATCATATATGGTTTATATTTGAATCCTTTTCTGTCATAATCGACTTTTCAAATAAATTTCATCTGTATATTCTTTGTATTTTTTTCGAGTATTCTCCGCCTTTTTCAATGTCATTCACAGAATTTATTGCCTTTGCAGTTTTAACTGAAAATGACCTCGTTTGATGCCGAAAAATCTGTAACTGATGTAAGTTTTCTTTATTATCCAGTATTTTACATTTAACTTCACCAAGTCTTCCTTTTTGACTCGAAATTGACTGTCCAATTTTCATTAATTAACTAAAACTGTATCTTAAGCAGAACTCTGTTACATTTGCTTTTGTTGTGCACCCAAATGATCCATTTTCTCTGTTGATATCGGTTATTTTTTGGACGTATTATACAGAAAACCATTGAACACAATACATTACATGTTAATCCTACCATAGTTATCGGTTTCATCTTTGTCCTTCCTGGGTTCCACACAAAAATATCTATGAAAATGGCCAAACAACCCCCATTTGATAACTCCGTCATACTGTTAAGTCTAAAATGTGGCGCATATATATCTGGTGCCCCCTTGTACCAATATTTATATGTTCAGATAAATAGTTAAGTCGAAGGACTTCCCATAAAAGCTCGTTGTGCTCAACCTTTATAGCAAACATAAAACAGTCACCACCTAGAACCTGGTACATATCTACGTCGGTTCAAGTCACTATATCCCATTAGCACAGAGAAATTTTCAAGTCAAATCCCAGAATATTAGAGGTAATAACAGTATGAATGATAATGGTAAAGATTAGGCATCGAAGATACGATTCAGGAAAATATAAATTAGTGAAATAAAAGAATAATTGTGAAAAATTTGGAATCTAAGATATCTGGGGGAGGACAAAGGACCTACTTACAATTGATTGATCACTAGTTAGTGACCAATGTCATGTGTGTCGGGTCTTCCTTAGTGGAGATCAAATTCTACCAACCAAGTTGCAATGTGGCCACTAGTCACATGCAAGACAAAGAGGAAATGCACCTGCACCACTGCAAGAGATTTTGAGCCATATCATCCAAAGTCTCTAACCAACGGTTACGAAAATCATGCGGACCCTAACCAGATAGTCTACACCTATTAACATGGTTCAATCCAGTTGTCGATGACTTCATTGATTGGCATCATGTTTTTGTTTGGCCATGCCTACCTTCCTTCTAGCCTACTCCTGCACCAGAAAACACCACCAGACGAGGTATGCGATGGTCGGCCATACATAACACATCTCAGTTGACGAAGATTTACAACCTCATTAGTCGATTTCCCATATTCACATAGTATCCTGTTCCAAACCCGGGCATTGCGTACCTCGTGGTCCTAAATTACACGAGCGATACTTCGTGGACTTCTGTGATCGAAAACCAGTAGCCTACAAATATCCTCTACTCTTAATGTCCATGTTTCACATCTATGAATTAGAACAGTGAAATGCATGGTAAACTCGTCTTTTGTTCCGTAGACGGATATATCGCTTACATCACAAGTGATGCAAGTCGATCAAAGCAGAAGGAGCCTTCCGAACCCGTGTCGAGACTTCGTCACACACCGAACCATGAAGACTGAAAAGACCTCCAAGATGAGTGATGTGGTCGGTGCGTTCAGTCACTTCACTCCCTATCGTTAATTTGAGCGCTCACGCAACCCAATTCTAAAGCGAAATTTTACATTTGGAAAGGAAAAACCATCCCATACATGTTTGCATTGTTGCTTACGGTGGTCGGAAGACGGCATTTTGTAAACCAGTCAATCTCCTGGCTGAACATCGGTCCCTAAAAAGTCAGATGATAAAAGCGTTTTCTCTAAAAGCATGTTTATGAAAAGGTTAAATACAAATAGAGAGAGGGGAAAGCTCTGACAAACATCAATCGAAGTAACCAAATTCAATGACAGTTCTCCATAAGCTCTGACGCGACTAGTAGCGTTTGAGTGGCGAGCACTGACAATGTTAATGTACTTCTTTGGTACGCGTTTCAGTGGCAGACACTACCAGAGAACCTCATGATCAACGGATTCGAACGCTGCCTTCAGGTCAAGGTACAGAACTAAAGTTGGACGTTGGGAAGAATGTCTATGTTCCAGAATCTGCCGAATAGTAAATATTCAGTCTATGAATATACGTCTGTGTCTGAAGCCAGCCTGGTTCTCTTGTGTTTGCTATTCACGAGATCTAGTTAGACGTCGAAGTATTATTGAGGTAAACATTCATGATGCTATATTAGTTGAAGTGATTCCTGTGATTGTCATGAGATGAATTTTGTCCTTTCTTATAAACTGAGATCGAAGCCAGTTAGGTGGGATTACGTTGAGTTCCCAGATTTTGGCTAAGATAGTTAAAATAACTGCTAAGACTTGACTATCATCCTTAAAATTATCAAGGGTTAGTCCATTGGTCCATCAGACTAGTGGTGTGGATGGTTGGAAGTTGGGGGGGGGCAAACCAAAATGTGGTATCAGTCCACAAAGTCACTAACTTCTAGTCTGATCCATGTTGGTAAATGCAGACTACTTGGTTGTGGTCCGCGACTATCGTAACTAGTGGTTGGAGACTCTGGGTGACATGACTATTAGAAGCGGTATGAGAGGGTTGTCACTTCCTGGTTGCTTACACCGTGGAAGGATAGTTAATCTTGAGGAACATGGAGATACTGAATTAGTGGCGGTTCTGGAGACCTGTATACGTGACCGCAGTGCCCAAGGGACGACTGCTTGAATTTTTTGAATGCATTAGCTCCGCAGTTCGAAAGGCTCTACCACCGGAGACAAAAATCCATGGGATAAGGTAAAGTGTGACATTTTTCTAGAGTGTGCCTTTTCTAATCAGTCTTCTTGTGATTATTAGAATGCAACTTATGACAAATTTTTCATCTGAAAATCTGTACTCATGAGCTTCTCATTTTTCTTCTGTAGAATATTCATACTTTTAGTCTCTCTCCGCATGAGCGATTCTTAAAAGCCTTCTGTATTTGTAATTGACTTCAGTTTTAACTTTTTGAGAAATTCATACTATTGTTTTAGGTTGTAGACAGGTGAAAAAAATCCACAAAACAAGTCAATTCCTTATTATTATTCTCCTATCCCTCGTCTTGTTCCATCGAAATTTATAATGAGGGACAGTTTTATCGAAAATTGCCCGTTCACAACAATTAATCCAAGAAAAGAACTTTGAATGATAAAGTCTGTTATATACTCACTAACTTAATTCAGTCGTGTCACTCTGAATGGATGTTTAGTCCAGTTCCATGTAGAATGGGTCAAATATTGAACCTTCTGTCGTCCTATCGAGGTATTGTCATCATTTACTTTGACTAGACATGCAACTCAAAATTTAGTGTTCAAATATAAACCCACCTTCTTAGTTTCATCATTTTATTGTATAACTCATTGTTAGTCTCTTGGTTGGCATTACCAAATATTTACAATCACATATACGCTGAAAGCTAAAGGATAGAACTTTCTGTGACAGACAATTTTCAGAAAATAAAGGAAGGGCAATAATCCTAGCGCTATAAAGTCAAGCCGATTTGATAGTATTATCAACTAAGTTTATTCGTTCTAGACAAAAATAACAATTTTTTAAAAATAATTCATTAATTAGGAAACATAATCAGTATGGTTAGAGCCATGCTTTTAATAATCTTAATGGAAAGCTTAATTTCGACTGAACATTAGCTACTACACTCACATGTTTATTTAATCTTATACATTACAACAGCACCATTATGTGAATAGTCTCATCAAACATAACTCCGATTATCATTATCAAAATGTATAGTGAATACTTTATCAACTCAAAATATTTCAAACTTTATCCTTTAATTACTGAATGTGTTACTTTCATATAATTTAGCCGAATATCGAGATACAATGGGCTGAACATTGTTTCCGTGATGCAGAAGATTATTTTCGCTTACTTTGTTCAGTCTCTGACCCCTCACAATTAAGACTGACTGCCATAGATGATTTCATATACGACAAATTTATGGGAGAGTTTAGTGATATACAATTAGACGTTATTTCTGAAGATTCTTTGAAATCGGAGCAATCAAAAGCAGTAAGTTCCTTATTACTTTATATCAGTTATCCACAAACGTGATCATTGTCGAATGAATTTCTAAGTTAACTATGTGTTGAATCCCTGTAGTTACGATCACTCTAGAAACAAACAAATATTCGAGTATAACTGAATTCCAAAGTAGTACATGTATATACTTTGTGTAATTGCGGCGCACTATTCAAACTGAAGGATTAATATTTTATGGTTTATAACACATTTCATCTATTTTCGGTGTCATATAACATTACTGTGTCACCAAGCTCAATATTTTGTGAGTGAATTTTGTTTAGTATACTTCAGTGTTTATGGATACTTGCCATATTTCAAAAAACTAAGAGATAAGCTGTATATCAGCCTATAGATATATTTAACCTTCGACTTTCATAATCTAACTAAACTTTTTAGTTTCTAAAGAGTATAGTGAGAAAAATTAACTCTATACCAGTGTGTAGATGTATAATTCTTAAAAACTACTATTGTTTTCGATTATTTTGTAGTCTGAAAGGGTTAGGAGTTCCTTTTCTTTTAAGTTCTAACTGAAGAAAGATGTCAATCCATCCTTAGAATTTATCGAAATTGTAATATATATATACTCACTGACTTCCATGAAAAGCTCGACCTTATTTCCTGTTTGATTTGCTCTGACACATATCTGCTGTTGATTTATGTATTCTAAACGCTATGTCGAGCAGCGGATACACCGATCATCGTTACTACAGTGACTGCAAAAGTCTTAGGAATTAACTACGTTTTTGTATCTTTGTTTTCCCTACAATCGCGTAATGGAGTTATTCTTGATCCTTTAGAAATGGCGATCATTTTGCAATGAGTTTGAAAGGAAAGTTGAAGATTTCAACTTCGGTACTTTATTGAGACTTGATGCCTCAAAAGGATACTGTCCAGAAAACACCTGCATCGGTAGGATATTTTTCTATTTAAACGTTTTTTGTACAGTTCCTAGAATACAGTTCCTTGCCTTAGAAATCGCACGTAACCGCCTTGGGATCAATAACACTGAGAAGCTCAGACAAATACAGGGATAAATTTGTACATATCTTGTGTATTTTTTCTATAAAACTTTGTAATTGGCCTTGTTTAAAGACTTTATTGGGATTTTAAAGATGATGAATCGAAGCTCACTACATGTATGAATATTTTTTAATAACATCAAAAACAACTACGCTACTGATCACCATACCTTGCTAATCAACCTCATAAATAATTATTCCCACATTACTTTATTCATCGAATAAGCTCTTCTACATTACAACTACTTAATAGTTAAATTATTGATGTAGATAATTTATCACCCCTTTGTTCCAAACTCAATTCTACGTGCCTGATAATGCAATTGTGACAAAAAGCAATTAAAATCGAGAATTTTGGACCAATAGTATTCTGCTCGCTGTTATGTTAAGGATCCCATCTCGCATGAACTCTCTAGTGTATATCGCTAACTAATGCTGAACCGGCACGATAAAGCTGCCTAGTGTTTTATAATATCCTAGGAGATACCAGTCGTCTGTAAATCAACTTTAAAATCTCAGAAGACATCTTGCTAGGTCGTACTTCTCTTCACGGTTTTCTACATATTGTCGCTGATTATTTGATTCTGTCGTACCATCGATGATGAAATGTAGGTTAGTATGTCTTGAGGACGACTTGTGTTATGACCTTGACGTCTGGCTCTTCTATCACACGATTTATCTACCAATCCGAATACGACTTATACGAATCTTCACCCTAGGCCAACCAATGACGTTCAACCGGTGTGGGCAGTTTAGCGTCCTTATTGGTCCTATGTCCTCCGAGCCCTTCCACTTGAGTCCAGAACACAATACCAACTTCCGTAATGTGAATCGAATCAGGTCAGATCAGACCAGATCGTTTATTTCAGACATACCCGGTTTATATATCAATCAGACAGACCACAACGTACCATAAAATAGGAAATAATATTTGTACACAAATAAGCCAAAAAGTGGCTGTGAATGAGGGGGACAGTAATTAATAGACTGAGCATAATTTAGGGACAGTAAATCGTACAATAATAAAATATAGGTCAAAATAAAGCTTATAATAAGAGGAATATAAATATACATAGTGTAATTGTTGAGTAGTTATACAATAAGAATATTTATAGAATATTAGTCCATGAATAGTCCTTGGAAGTTACCTGTAATTTAATCTTCACCGGATATAACAACTTGTTTAAAGTAATCAAATCGGGGTGATTTTCTAAGCACTAGCCAGTGACTATAGAGAAATTCTATGTATTTAGTAATTACGAGGTTTTAAAATAACAGGTCTGGTGTTTTCCTCATACTACCTATTTGTAATCCACTAAAGACCAAGTGAAAATGCGAGCGCTACCCTTATTCAAAACAAATGATCATAATTAAAATCATCTCACGGACTACCAACAACCCAGAATAAAAGCTAATAGCTTGATTCACTAATGACTGCTCTTGGTTTTTTCTTAACCTTATTCCTATCCTAACGATTTATGGTCATACAAAACACATATCCCTGTTACTGTAGTCGATGGTAAGTTATAGAGCATTACATATAGTGGTAATTGGAATTATTTAATTATTACACAAATTAGCAATCCCAGAAATGACGCAATTTAGACCAAGAAAAACTAGATGAGTACTAATGGACGTATTGTATTCAGAATTCAAAATCAGGCGGACATCATTAGTTCATACAAACACCGATCCGCCACAGCTTAAATGTCTGTCCGATTGTGTACTGGACGTAAACTGTATGATCTAGAATATACTCATCAGTATTAGAATTAACAACTAAAATTGGAACAGGCTCATCTAGGTCCTGGAATTGTATACAATCACCATGTCGGTTGTGTACTGAAACCACTGTTATCTAGAATTCGTACCGTAGATTTTTCAACACTATCTCCCCACACGAAATAATGTTAGATCCTCATATCCCCAAGTTAAGAGTAATGTGGTTTCCTTTAAAACATATTTCTCACATTGATTAGAGGATTCATTAGAAGTGACTTCATGATAAGTATGAACAACATTCGATATGAAATCACACGAATTGTAGTCAAAATCGAGCTCCTTTAGGACTCGTGCTTCGCATTGAACAACTTTCCCACAAGAAACAAATGCATTATGAGGACAAATAATGTTTGATATAACATTAAGATTTGATTCTTCTGAAGTATTTTCTTCAACTCTATTAAGAATATCATTGGAGATTAATGGATCATTAGAAAAATCAGCAACTATCGAAACTGCATCGGATTTTCTATCATGATTTGATCCATTCAGCGCAGATTTGTAAGAGACTTCATCAGAACAAACCATATATGGTACAATAACATGAAATTTGATGCACTCGACATATATGTAAATAATTTCATTAGAAATATATGAGAACATCGCATATCTGGTAAAATAATATCACGAATCTGACTGTAGTATGATTCATTTGAAACATTCAACTTAATAGGATCAGAATCGCTAAGCTTAGCATTAGTTGCAGCGAAATAAACCCTAGTATTACAAACTGGCCGAATATGTCCAATCTAATCACATCTGAAGCATTTAGAATTACGAAATTAAATAAGTGAAACTTGCTATAGAACAAGCATTTACTTAACTCGCGCTCATCTTCGTGACCTACTTCGCAACTTCTCAATGAATTTTCCGAATAACCTTGATTACGCATGGGATTGGGACGACGAAATAAAATTGCTGATGTTCCGACGAATCATTTTACGAAATTTGTATACTTTACATGGTCTAGTAGTACTTCCTTGAGAGTTGCATAAGGAAGTGAAATAGGCTTTTCTGGAAATGCCCGTTTCCAATAAGTTGTATGCTTCTTTTCCAATGATTGTAAGGAAATGAGCCACAATATTAACATCCTCAATACCTTCCTTGGTCATAGTCCATATAATCCTCAAGAGCATCAAAATCTGAATGTATGTCCAACTGTTCCATCACAAAATTCTGCTCGCGGCACCAATGTGGTGATTAGAAGTATTTGAATTATTATACAAACTAGTAATCCCAAGAATGACGCAATTTAGACCAAGAAAAACTAGATGAGCACTAATGAACGTATTGTATTCGGGTATAAAGAAATAATTAGTCCATACACAGATACAGTGATTTGCATATAATCAACGCGCACTACTCACCAGCTGCACATCAAAGCCCCTAAAATTGCACTCCATATTACGTCTAGGTAAAATTTACTAACACTGCCGACCTGTGTTGTCTAACAGTTGAAGACCCTAAATCAATGCCCTACAAACGCAAATCAAAATAGGGTTTCGGACAGGTCTACGTTGGCCTATGTTCTTAGACTAGACAAACACGACGATATGAAAATAACGAAAATTGACGTAACGTATTAACAATGATAAATGCAGGTGCTTTAGATCCAAAACAAGGTTCGGGAAGGCGGAGCAAAAAGGTTTGTATGGAAAAATACTAACAAGATCGAGAGGAAGATGAATGGAGAGATCCGTACCATCATGAATGGATCTGTGCTATATTGCCAGAAGTTTCCAACCATTGATTGCGGTGATAACCCAGACCCTTACCAGGTAGTCTACATCGACTAATCTGGCTCAGATTAACAGTCAGTGACTTTATGGATTGATGTTGCGTCTCAATTTGACGCCCCTAGTCCTCAACTTCTGCATCAGCAAGCATCGCTTGTCGTGGTTAAGCATAAGCAGCTCACGTCCAACTTCGACACTGCTCACCCGATTGGCCCATAAAAAACGAGCGATCCTTAGGAAGCACCTATGACCAAAAGCCTTCAGTTTAACGGTCTTTCACTCCAATCAACCATGAGCATTATTAAGGTTTGTAATCCACTCGTCGTATTCAGTAAACCGGGTTCCTTGTGGCTATTACAAGATCCTTCACTTGTTGAATATTTGAAAATCATCTGAGCTACCTGCCCTGCACATCCTGACTCCATTATATACAAGTGAATTGGTTGAACACTATGTAGCTGATATTTTCTCATCTCGTTTTCGCTGGCCACCATAGGCTTGGATCTGTTTTGCAACTCCAATATTTATTGATACATCAAAGGCTTAGTAAATTACAGTGCCTGCTGGCAGCCAACTTAGCATCGCCTTGGGTAATTTTGAAGGAAACAGTAATAAATTAAGCTATATCACATTCGCATACAGATACATAAATAACGCTACGCGTTATGTCATACTAATAATAACTAAGGGACGAATTTTATCTTACGTTTAAGTGTCTAGAACACTACACAACCTGTCGTATTGCATGTTACAACAAATACGCGTATGGAACAAAAAAGAATGCTCGGTTTTCTACGTGAAATGAGACGTAACGAAAGTCATTTATCTATTTTATTGAAAAATCCACCATAAAAACAAATTAATACGGAATAATACACGCACACAGGGAAACGAATTCATAAGAGCGAAGAAAATGCCCTGATAAATCTAGCGGATTAAAACAATTAAATGCTGTTCAGAATGAGGTTATACATTGAAGGCAAGGATTTTGAAATTAGATCTTTTAAGAGTTTTGATTACGATCCAATTCAAACCATCTTGGGCGACAAATCAGCGCATACGATAGTTAAACATTTTGTCGATCGACGAAAGTTCTCCCACGAATTCTACTTTGATGTTGATATCAAGATCACGCTACAATAAGGAATAAACAAGCAAAAACAATTCCCACTTGAAGAATGGCATTTTTGAGCTTACCACAAACAAAAATATTAGACAGTAAGTATGACAACTATAAAGTGAATAGAGAATCAACTGTAGCAGTGTGAATTGTTTATTTCATTTATCTGCTTATACATCTTACTTGTTAGATAAGCACTATTGTTCGGTTTTGAAGTGACTGTTGATACATGTAGTGAAATATTTCATTATACGTTGAAAAGTATCTTCAGTACATTATTATTTCAAACCCTTTCTAGTCCACAGTAAATCAGACTTCATAAGCACACTGAATCAGAACTTAAAACTTAGTAAGAAAATCCAGAAACTCACTGAATATGAAATCATCAGAAATTATATTATGATCGACAATGCTGAATAAATCTGTTCACTATTTCCTGATGGTGTTAAAAAATACACAAGTGTGACGCATTGTTTGATGTAGGTACAATACTACGGGACTCAGAAAAATAACATTAACAGTTAGAAGCTAAAATTAAATTAACTCACGTTATTTCG